CGGGCGGCCGGGGCGAGGTGGAGGTAGCCCGGCGGCCACCCGGGAAAAGCCGGTGGTCCGGGGAGCGCAGTTTGGCTTGGCGAGCCCGGCCGGAGGAGGGGGCACCCGGCGGCCGAGGGGAGCCGGGCAGCGGGCGGGGGTGCGGGCGGCTGGTGGCGTTCTGGTTAACACGCGTCTATTCTTCTGTGCGCGGAGCCGGTAGCCTCCCGTGCTCCCACAGGACCTTGTCTGACATCCGAGGTTTTTCCTCTCGTCCTGACCCGCTGCTGATTTACAGCGGGTGGCGTTCGGTCCGGCTTGCCCGTGCACTTTTCCTCTCAAAACTCTGTCTTTGAGGCTGTAAGCGAAATAAAAGGCGGTTCGCAATTTTGTGCGCAGTGATGTTCCGTTAAAAAATGTCACTTAGTCGTCCAGCATCCTCAGAATATCCCGGCAGGGTTTGTTGGTTGGTTTGTTTTTGTCTGAAATTTGGAAGCCCGGGGGGGAAAGAGCTGAAAAAGAGTGAGACTTTTAAACTTCACGCAGCGTTTGACATGTGAAATCTTCATCTGTTGAGAAATAATTTTGTGTAACCAGATGGGCTTATTTCAAATGGGCATCTTTTTGTCTCAAAGACGTCTGCAAATCTCCACTGAGAACACCCCTGGATGAGGTATGTACCAAGCCTTTGGTAGGAGAGAGCTCATTACCGTGATTGCAGTTTGATTAAGTAAAATGGTGTCAGAAGATGAAGTCCACAGTTTTCCTTCTTTCTCTAAAATTGTCATCGCTGTTATTTTCTCTTTGACGGCAAATGATAATATTAACAGTTTTGTCACATGTTTTTTTTTCTTTCAGAAGATAAAGGGACATATATAACAGAGCCAGATAGCAAAATTCTCCTTGAGTATCTACTAGGGAGGCTTAAAAAAACCCCACAAAAACAGTGTAGCTTTTATAACCTGCTAAAGGTGTAGGAATTTTTTTTTTTCATTTTTTGTTACATGTATCATGTTGTTTTCATTGTTATTGTTCACCCTTTCTTAAAGGAATATGGCATTCTCTGCTGGGGGTGGCATTGCTGTTAAGGCGAAGAATCAGAGCGATACCGAATATGATGTTCAATAACAAAATGTACAGCATTGCAAAAATTACTTGGCTGTGCTTAATTATTTTCGTATTATACCTCATATCAACCACCAGCATGGGTTTTTCTTTCTCAAGAGGAGGAAAAAGCCCTGTGACTATAGTAGGAATATTTATTATGTGGCAGAGTTTATTAAATCAGTCATAAAAGAAATGAACGTAACATCTTTAAACAGTTCAGAAGATGAATGTGTAATTTCTGATTTGCTTGAGGTTAAAATTAGTTTTGTGGCAACGAGTAACAGCTTTGCTTTATTATCTGTTGGTCCTTGGAATAAGAGGCAGAACCATTTGAATAAAACCATTTTAAAGCAGAATTCATAAAAGCAATAATTGTTTGACTGAGCCAGCAGGCACCTATTGCCAGAAGGGGAAAAAAAGTTGGCTAGGTAAAGAAATTTACTTATTTGCTGAGAATTTAGCTCGTTGACCATTCTGTGATACCTAAACTCACAGGAATGGAATCAAAATACCTATAAAACTCAAGGTGAAGGTGGAAGCAGGTTATAGTACTGTGAGGACGAGCCAGTGGATGCCTTTGATCCTGTCTGTTTTCCTTTGATGAATGATATGAGCTCAGTTGCATAAAGGACCACATTAAAGGCTTTTATGCTCTGTTGAAGGACTGACAGGTCTTAGCCAATGCAAGCCTTCCTTTAACTTCCCCTATTACAAGTTTTTGATTGGGCAGCAGAAGTTCAGAAAGAAATAACTTTTTTTTTCTTTCTTTCTGAAGCCATATTTGACTTTCAGCTTTTATTGTGGCCGTCTCAAAATGCTTGCAGACTGTCATCCCACTGGGAATTTTGGTGCTGAAAATGCTACGCACTAGAGAGGGAGAGCTGACATGGTTTTCTATTGAGTTGAGGAGACTTAAGAATCCAGACTCGTACGTTAATTTAGTATTGCCCAAGATTTTTATGAATACATTGCCATTCTTGATTCTGCAAGTCTCATGCACTGTCTTCTGCTCACCTAGTTTCTCTAATTCTGCATGGTTTAAAGAGAAATTACTGTAACTTCTCAAATACAAACTTTGTGACCTCTCTAGTCATACAGTAACCTACCTAGGCATCTGCAGAATTCATTTTTCTCAATGGTGATTACTCTTCATTTCTTTCCAGATGTCTATTTTGTCTTTCTCTGATAGTCCTCATGAAACAGTAAATTATTTTTTTGCTGCAATTTCCCAAAGAATTTAGGCTATGTAACATGATGAATGTTCTATAAAACCACTCATCGACCATTTAGGTGAGAATTTTGAGAATTTTCTCTTCTCTAGCAGCAAATTCAGTCTGCTGATGATTTAAAATTCTTACTGTGGGCGACCCTAGCACTGGGATTTGGCCAAGTTCAAAGCAGCTATGCAGATGGACACACAAGACAGAAGGCAGAGGGAAATAGACCCTTTTAATCATAACAAGGCTGCTCTTGTTTTCTTATCTACAGTGGAAATGCATGCAAGTCCCTTCTACCTAAAAGCAGGCTTGCAAATGTGCCAGAATAGACAGCAAGAGCATTTGTTATTAATGCAAAGTTAAAAATGTGACAACTTGTCTTCTCAGTACTGCTCTGTGTGTCTCCATTTCTAGACTGACACCGTACTGCTGCCAAAAGTGCACATCTCATCACTGCTGGTGGGATAAGGATTTCCCCCCAAAACTCACACCCTTTGAAAGTGTGTGATTTTGTTAATAATTACTGAAACCAGCTATGACCTGTCATTTTGAAATGGCTATAATGACTTATAAATCAATTTCTCGTTAGAAAGAACTTCTTCTTTTTCTTCCCGTTTTTCCCGAAGGTGCCATTGTTGCCCATGAAAAATGATTTGGTTTACAACATAAGGTCAGAGCACATTTTATTCTGCCGTTTGTGCCTCATGCAGGGGCATTACGGTGATGCACAGCCCGAGCTCGGTTCTGCCTCTCTTCAGTAGGAGTATCCTCTCTTGGTGAAACTGGCCACATCCAAATTACAGACAAAATAGGTATTTCATTACAGTGCATGTTAGTACGTTGTTCACTTCTTATACCTTGGCTGGACTGTTAGTGAAGGTGGATGTTTTAGACAATTCAGATGTTGTATTGCTTGTATAGATTGAGGCTAGATGGCATCAAATAGTACCTCATTCTGCGTTAACCTCTTTTATGGCAATTATATGTTCTTAAGAAAGGTGTGTTTACTCACTACAGGAGCAGGTCTGTACTGTCAATTCCCTTTCAGCCCTCACTGGAGTAGTTTCCATCTTTCTGCATTTTAGGAAACATTTCAAAGTTTGTGTTTGGGATCTTAGGGGGCTCCCACCTTCCTTTTCTGCTGGCCTCAGAAATCACTGCTCTTAGTCAGTTGTACCACTGTTTTAAGGAATGCAGCACTGAAGTCCAGACTATGTACATACCTGGAATATTAGGTGACATATGTGTGTGTATATATATATACATGCAAAAAAACTTTTACAGGATCTCAGTGATAGATATATTAGTTTTAGATCCTTGCATTTAGCCAAAAGGGCTGTGTATAAGGGAATTCAGAAGGATGTTCAGCAATCATCTTGCCTGTATTTTCTTGTACCTACACTTGTAGCTTGTCTGCGTGTACTCTAGCACTTGAAATTTGAGTTTATGCATGACATACTGCAGGGTTTGTGAGACTTCAGTTCTTCCTCTAGGCATGTGGTTTTTTTGTTTATGTCTATTTGTAAGTTTATGCATAGAAATATACCTATATATATATATAAAGTCGTAACTCATCCCTCAGTGTATTTTAGCTATTTTTCCAAGTCTGATGCAATATTGGTTGGAGTCTCTCCACAATTTGTTGTTCTGCTACTTGGATATCAAATTCTACTGTAATTCTTTCTCACTTCTCTTCCCTCCCTCTCTCCTTTTTTAAAAAAAAGAAGAGCATCTGCATATTTCAAAGACATACACCATTGCCAAGCAATCTGGTGTAGTGGCTTAATATGCTGGCAAATAATTTCACAAGTTATTTGTGTGTGTGAAGGCAGTATATTTGAATATCATTATATTGTGAATGTAACTATGAAGACAGTTATCTGAGTTTATTTAAATCTTAGGAAAGGCCTAAGCTCCAGAAATAAAAGAATGTTTTTCATTTTTTAATTGGGAGTGCATATTTTTGTCCTTTCCTAATGCTGGTGGCACGGGACATCACAGTTGCCAAAAGCCTTTTTATCTTAGCTTCTGAGTGTTGCCAATACTTGATGGCCTAAAAAAAGAATGCAGGAGAAGCAGGCTCTTGAAGACTGAGGTAGAAGGGATGTTGCTTTGCAATGTGTTGCTGGCCTTCTGTGCACTTGTCATTACCTGTGAACCTCTTTTTCACTTCTGGTGTGTTTTTCACCCATATGGGTCACTCAGTGACTCCATTTGAGCACTCTCTTCCTTTCCACCTTTGATCTCTGCATCCTGTATCATTTTCCTTAAGCAGTTTGATTTTTGTTAATGTCCCTGGCCAGATTTGCTCAGCTAACCTGCATGTCCCCAGCCTGGTCCCAAGTGTCAGTGCTGTCCTTTTCTCTGACCTTACCAAGGATGGCTTCTTGGAGCCCTTTGCATCTTCCGTTGTCGTTTGAATGCAGATCAGAAATGGACTTTCAAAAGAGCAAGTCATTGCCTGCAGAGCGAGCAGTGGATCTGTTCTTTCTGTATGGTGAGATCTGAGAAATCCCACTAGCTATATCCTTTAGCTTATGGAGGTGTCTCTGAAGTTTGCACAGCTCAGAAGAGGAGGGAGGTTTTCTCTCGTGAATTTTCTCCTTCACCTGATATGCTTTCCTCCAGCCTATCACAAAGGCAATTCTTCTCTTTCTCTAAAATCTGTATCCCTGCCTCACTGAGGCACTTCTACTTGGGTCTTCCTTTCTTACCTTTCTACACTTTGCTCCTGTCTCACCTGGAGATGTCTTATTCTTAGTATGGGTTCAGTAGTTATCTTTCCTCTCTCCTACCAATCCTTACCACACCAATAACTTAACCCACATTACCATTGCTCTCGGCATCTCCTTGCTATCTCATGATTTCTTCAATTAAAACTTGTTACAGCCAGTTTGTTGCAGGGGGGTGAGAAGGCAGACATACACCCTGTGTGGTTTATGAGAGTTCTCCCTGGAGCCTGATGTTTTTGCTATCTTTCTGTCTCTAAACATTAAGTCTTTTAATGAAATTCACTAATATTTTCTTCTGCAACAAATTTGTGACCTGTGTTCTTCTCTGGCCATTGCATGGAAGCTGTTTTCTAGGAGTGGTTCTCTCCCTCTCTATCTCTTTTCTTCCTAATAAGTGTGGTTTTCCTCCAGTTTGATCCTCTAGACATTATATTTTTCTGGAGACCTTTGACATTTAGCATCCAATGGAGCCTGGTCTTTTTTGTCCTGCTCTGTTTCAAATGACTTCTCTCCCTTAAACTACACATTGTGTACTAAGCTGCTGTTTCTTCCAGGTACTTCCAGGAGATTGAGTGCTCAGCCCCTGTCTCATTTCCACCTGGCTGGGCTTCTCTGTCTCCACTTAACATTTATGTAAACTCTGCTCAGCAATAATTACCTTTACCTTTTGGCATTAGAGAATGGCTGGAAAAGAGGCTGGAGATGACAGGATTTCTGTTGGAATTTTAAAATCCAAGATAAACTCTTTCGTGAAAAATAAAAAGTTTGAGAGTTCAAAATTTACCAGCTTAATGAGTTCTCTTCCATTTTCTTTAAAATGTAAGTCCCATAGCATTGTATTAAACTTTTTATATTACCTACTCATTCTGCTTTATTGGAGAAGAAGAATAGAAAGTCCTTTTTTGGGAAACAAGTCCCTAAACTGGAGCTGATTTTAAGCAAGCAGCCAGGTCACGATGGCTTCACTGTTTCTTTTTATCTGAGTCTTTCATACTTCAGCAAGACTCCTCATCCTCTTTCAAAATTCTATCTTTAGATGTAATTAAGATAATAGGAAGTAAACTGTGGAAGATCTTTAAATCCTACAGTTTTACAATCGCCACCTCTGCCTTCCGTCCCTTCTTCCAAAAGCTGGGCAGAGCAGGTAGCTCTAGTGTGACCTTGATGGTCCCCTGGCTGGTTTGCAACTTCAATACTTCACCTTGTCTACAGGACAAACAGGAAATGTATGTATAAGGGGATGTATTTCACAAGCTGAGGAGTTTTGGGTGACCTCAGGAGATTTTTCACAAAGATGGGGCACCTGCCCCTGCTCTTCCTCCTCTGCATCTGTGTGGGATGCAGGAGGTGCACCCTTGGTTTGCTTAATTCAGAGGAAGGGCTTCAAGCTAAGCCTCTCATCAGGCATGCAGCCTGCCTCTTGGAATATCAGTTAGTGCCGTTATGTCCAGATGTTTAGCACTCAGTCCAGCATGGAACAACTCCAGCAGCTTAGAGATGGGCAGCAGGATGTAGAGGTTGACAGCATGCTCACCTGGCTCACAGAGAGCAAAGTTTTGGTCCTTCCCCTGAACCAGAAGGAGCAGGGCTTCAGCCTTGCTTTTGAATCTTTATGATCTTAGACACTTGTATATGCTCTGGCTGTTTGGGACATAAGGTGCAGCCTCCTTTTCTTTGTACCACAAAATTACCTGTGCTGAAACTGGTACACACATCTTGCCAACTTTGGAGGGAGGAAATAATACTATTACTTTTAAAAATATTGTTCATCACTGATTAACACCCTGTTTTCCCCCTTGTTTTGTTTTTGTTCAGGTTGTCTGCTGGATGCTGGGGAGTGTCACATAGGAGCCATTGGCCCACAAATTGGAGCAGTCCAGTCCTTATCCTGCTAGTGTGCAAACGGTATGTTAACACAAATAACCATGTAGCTGTGCCTTCTTGCTAATTAAGGTTCAACTTGCTGAAGATATGATCATGTTACATAAGTACAAAATTGGGTTCATTACTTGCATGCCCTAGTTTAACCCATAGCTGATAGTGCCTCGCTGTATCTGGAAGATAACATCCCTTATTTGCTCCTCTCCTAGCATCTGTGCTCCTTCCCGATCCCTCACACAGAGAAAATTCTGACTGAAATGACTGCAAGTTTTCCTGAATTAGGAGTGACAGCATATTTGCCATTTTTAGCCTAGGAGTAGCACAGTTTTGGAGATGGAGTAGTAAACCAGTAAATAGGATGGGGTAACATTGCCTTCGCATTCTTCTCAGCATGTGTTTTTTTCCTTGCTTGGTGTTACTGAGTCTGAGAGTGCCATTTCTCAGTCTACACATTTCTATCTCCAAGGCTTGGAAACCTTGTTCTGTCCTCGAAGCTGTATTGTCCATCACCATATGGGATAAGGTAATTGTTAGCCATATAAATTTTCATTTTATAGGACAATTCTAATTCCTAGAGGCCAGCAGTTACCATGGTAGATCTCATTTCTCTAACAGTTTTACAGCTGACTGCATGCAAGTGTAAATTACTGCTGTTTCTCCTGTGGGAGTACTATGTGGACCCAGTTTGGGAGGAGTCCCAGTGTACTGGGCACTGTGCAAACTTATCAGAAGATAATGCCCTTCCCTGAATGACTTAGAACCTTACAAGGTGTAAATAAGGAGAGCGCATATGTATGCAATATATAATGCATATATATTTATGCATTCAGAAATTGTTTGAATTCTTCGTACTTGTCCTTTAGCCTGTTCTTAATTAACTATGATTATCGTAGAAGAAATGTATAGACATGGAGATCAAAATATTTTCTAAAATGGAAGCTAAAAGGGTTTGATTGTGGATTTCCCTTTCTTGTTTTGATTCCTTTCTTGCAGTGTCAACATTTTTGCAGCTATCAGTATCATCATTGTATTGCTCATAATTACTTTCTGAGGAAGAGCATAAATACTCACTCTTTCTATTCAGGCTATTAAAATTGCTTTATCAATCATCCTGGTTTGAAAATTGTAACAAATTCAGCTCCTTTTGTAGACAATGATAAAAACTTTCTAGCTTTCCTTCTATCCCGGAACAGTAGGAGAAGATAGATAATAGCATTTTAATGAAGTCATGTTCTTGTTCCCCAAGTGAACTGGTCTTGTGGACCAACAAGAAGTCTGGAGGAGGTATAATTGTTCCTGTTGTCCTTGATGATAATTTACTAGCCTCTTATGTACTATATATTATTTATTTTACCTGAAGTGTATTTATATTCTGATATCCAAGCATCTTTTAGGGGCTGTATGTAACCACACAGTGGAGGGCACTAGTAAGGCTTTCCCCCTCAACTCTTCACTAATTCTTTCACTTTAAAGGCAGAGCCTTAGGAAGTTGTGTCTTCAACCTTCAGGTGATGTTTAACACCTCACATGTTCGATCCCTGGTAAAGCAGGCAGGAAAAGAGGGCCGAAGCAGTTGAGCACAAGTCACTGCAGACAGCTAAGCCGGGAGTTTGTCAAAGCCGCTCCATCTAGTGGCAGTCACTTTGCACAGCTGGTCTGGCAGTGCCCATCAACAGCTGCTGGATGATGGGAGAAAGGTCTAAAATGGTGCTCATTTATGACTGGTCTGGTCTGGTCTTCAAGATAAAAGATCCTGAAGTTTTTCTCTGTTGTTTAATTCTTATCCGCGGTCATAATTCAGTACTCACTGTGAATTGCTGCATGCAGTTGTGGAAATACATCAAAATTTTTGAGTGCCAGTGTTGATGCAGCCTCTTCTTCATATTTAATTAATGTTTCAGTCTTTTAAAAGCTGTTTTAAAATGAGTGAGGTAGTAGAGCTCATTTATGGAAGGAATGAAGCTGAGAGCTTTGAAAACACAAAGAAGTTGGAAGAGTGAATTCTAGCAGGGCAGGAGAGTTGGTAGAGTAGGAAGGCTCTCCCTTACTGCCACTCTGCCCATGAGGGAAGCTTTCTGCAGCACACAGCTGTCACTCCAGCCCCATGGAGAGAGGATGAATGGGTGCAGGGGACACTTCTCTGCGGGAGCTCTGAGAAGCCAGAGTGGCTCCTGGAGTATTTCATGTGGAGATGGTCATGGGTCTTGGGCAGGATGGGTTTGGACTGTGTTGAAGCCAGCTGTGAAGAGCAGTGTGGCTGGATGGAATGGGGTGTCTGTTTTCATGGGCACTGCCTGCTCAGCACTCCAGGTTTGGACAGAAATACTCAGAGACAAAATGTGTGTGGCATGTGCACCTGACCATATGAAAAGAACAAGACCATTCCTTCTGCCATGTCTTTTCTTTCTATGTCAAATTGTGTAGCAATTGTGATATCTGTGTACCCTGTGATATCTGCAGGACCAAAGGTCCAGTTTTGTTTTCACCAGACTGCTATGGAAAACCTCGCTGATATCTTCAGTGCATTTTAGTAGTGAGCTTATATTGGGATAAGCTAGTATCTAAATTAAAATAAATGAATTTTCTGTAAAGTGTAATTCCGGATCAGGCAAGTGGTTGTTTTACTGCAACTTTAATAAAAATCAACTGCAGCTTGAATAGGTGCATGCACACATACTGCTAGAAATTTCCAATTAGGATATTCCCAGCAGCAAACAAAACCAAAATTAATGTTAGCAGCATCCCCCAAAGCCTAAACTACACTACTAATGAACTCCCAAGTACTCTCAAAGAAAACTCTCTTTGCAGAGACAATAAGGTAAAAATTACTGTAATAATCTCAATGTAAAAATACAGAGGGAAAAAAAAAGTCATTAACATTCAAAGTCACATTTGCCTCTCCTGATCCCGTTAACCGTGTTGTTAGCATAGCATATGCATGTGTAGTGATATTGTCACATAACTCACTGCCACCTTCAAAAGAGCACACAAGAATTCGTGTTCTTTCATTTGTATTTCAAATAAAGGTAGGGGTTGCATGGCACCTAATTCTGAGGTAGTCTGTACTTGACATGGCTCCAGCAGGGACCAGCTACCTCATAATGATTTGTTTGTCTGTCTAGCAGAAGTGCTCAGTTGAATACAATTTATGAAGCTTTCCTCAGACATAATCTTCTCGACATGGGGCTGTGGCTTTACTCATTAAAATGGTTCTCTTTCTTCTGTCAAAAATAAGCTTGAATAGCAGAGGCTACCACAGCAATCTTTACATATTTATAGAAATACTTTTTTTTATTTAGTATTTTTTGGTAGTTTTCAAATTAATAGCACATTCTTCACTTCCGGTTTTAAAATGGTGTTACAACCCCAAGCTTAAAGTTACCAGACTTCACCTAAAGCATATTTTTCAGTAGAGTCATCTTTTCAGCATGTAACATCTGCAAATTCTCTAGGAACAGCTATAAAACAGAAAAGTACCTTCCATATTAGATGATTGCTGTTCATTTTTAATGAATGCTTCGGTGACATTTCCCTCCTTCACTGCTCACGCCCTCAAAATTAAATTCCTTAATACTGTCTGTCTGTCTAATAATTGTTATTTGCTGAGCAAACTGCGTCTTCAAAAGCTGACTCAGCCAGTATATGTTGTGTGTTGCAAGTGTCCCAGTAAGGGTTGTTTGTACTCATACTTTTTTGCAGCATTGGAATTGCAGTGTCTTCTGAAGGTCTAAGTTCATATATTCCCTTTAATACTCAATGTCCAGGCTTGCTTTATAAAAGGCAAAACTTTAAAGAGCTATGGAAAAAGTCTTGAGTGTTCACATGCTATAATGGCAGTATAAATATATCATCAGCCAAGGGATCTCTGCTTCTTTGGAAATGCTCATGGTTTCCCATATTTTTAAGTACTGCTATTGTTGTAGAGAGGCTTTCTTTTCTTCCTTCCTACATAGTTTTCATGGGGAAAGAGAACACTGGTACCTACTGTGCATGCCTTCTCTTTAGGAGTTGGGGTGATCAGTACTCTGATTTTGGCAGATAAACTCATGTAGCCTTTCTGACCATTTATTGTCAGTTGTGTAAAGTGAACAGGTTAAGTCAGCACAAGCCTATGTACTGGCATCTAGGATTTCGTGAGTGCAACAATTTCCTCCATACTAAAAGCAAGAAGAAGCTTGGTTTGCTCCTGTTGCTGATTAATCATTGAGATGTCCCATACCAGATGCAGCATATTTGTAGCACACAAGAGGAGTGATTCTGGCTCTTATTTGTATTCAGACCACTCTCATCCTTTGAGGTGGTGGAAGGGGGCCCTAAAGCAGATGTTCAATCCATATTCAAGGCATTTTCTATTGGCAAATTAATATAAAGGAGTACAGCATAACAAGAGCTGTAGGACTTGTCTTGCATGTCGATGCATGCTCAGGTGCTGAAGGAGGGTCCTCTCCCAAGGGAGCCCTGACCAAGAGTTGTTCCCCACAACTAGTAACCATCCATGAGCAAAGACTGTACTTGATAGATCTCAGAGACCACTGGCTACATGGGGTCCTTCTGCTGGGTCCCCCCAGTTTTGAAAGGAACAGAATGTTTTGAGAGTGTCCCCAGGGGTACAAGTTATATTACAATGCTTCTCACAGAAGCAGTGGCTCCTGATCCCTTTTGCCTGGAATTTTAGCCACTGCATAAACTTAGTTGAGCAAACTAAGTTTATCTAGGCAAACTTGAACTGAGTCTTATCCATGTTTATCTAGGCAAACTTGAACTGAGTCTTCTGGTGTGTACAGAGCAGATCACTGATTCTCTCACTGACTTAACAGGGCTGGTCATCTTTTCCTGAAACTGTGGACAGAGCTGGGTCACCTCCCTCATATTGCTCAAACATTCCAGTACCTTAGTTTGCTTAGCAGAAGAAGGAATAGAGCAATCTCTATGTATGAGTGTAATGAAGCTATATATTTATTGATCAAATACCTTGCTAAAAAAATTTGCAGTAGCAAATTCAGGATGTTAATAGACCTCAGATTGTTATAGCAGGATAATAAATATACATAGGCATACTGGGTGAACTGTGAAATTTGGAGTGCATGGCTCTGTCCTCATTGCCTCTGTTGCGAATTTTTCAAAACCCTCAGTGCCTTTTGAAAGAAAAACAATGGAGGTGGTGACTCAGTTTAGTGCTGCCCCTGCAGTGACACTTGGTATTATCTAAATGAAGCAAGGAATATTGGTCTGCAAGGTACTTTGCAATCAGAAGCTGAGAAAAATATCTTTCTGGTGAAGCAGCTCAGAAAGTTTTGATGAGAAATGAAAATTGTTTTCCTGTGAAACACTCAATTCCCCATGCCTCTGTTTTTCACATCACTTCTTAGTGTAATTCAGTTTTAGTGAAATCCAGGTGATTTCTTTCTAAGTGCTCAACCCACCCTGATTTCCCGCAGTGGCAAAGCTAGGACCTGCCCTGAATACCAGAGAAGGGTTGATTTTCTTTGACACAGTTCAGCTAAGTTGTCTGTGGAGTTTGTCTCCCTGTTAATGAAGTCTGATCTCTTCCCCATATAGGATTTCCTCCGATGCGTTTTTTCATCCCCCAAGTATCTCTGAAACCAACAAGACTGGGGTTATGAAGTCAATTCTAGATGGCCTCGCAGATACAACTTTTCGAACAATCACGACAGATCTCCTTTACGTGGGCTCCAACGATATCCAGTACGAAGACATGAAAGGCGACATGGCATCCAAGCTGGGGTACTACCCCCAGAAGTTCCCTCTTTCTTCCTTCAGGGGTGATCCTTTCCAAGAAAAAATGACTGGAGGAGATGATTCCCTGTTGAGCATTATTCCCTCAGAGCAGGTCAACATCACAGAGTTTTACAACAAGTCCCTGTCCACTTTTAAGGATAATGAGGAGAATATACAGTGCGGGGAGAACTTTATGGATATGGAGTGTTTCATGATCCTGAACCCCAGCCAGCAGCTGGCCATCGCCGTGCTGTCACTCACCCTGGGCACCTTCACAGTCCTAGAGAACCTCCTCGTCCTGTGTGTCATCCTCCACTCCCGAAGCCTCCGGTGTAGACCCTCCTACCATTTCATCGGCAGCCTGGCTGTGGCCGACCTCCTGGGCAGCGTGATTTTTGTCTACAGTTTTGTGGATTTCCATGTTTTCCACCGGAAGGATAGCCCCAACGTCTTCTTGTTCAAACTGGGTGGAGTTACAGCCTCCTTCACCGCCTCTGTAGGTAGCCTTTTCCTCACGGCAATAGACCGGTACATCTCTATACACAGGCCGCTAGCGTACAAAAGGATTGTTACCCGACCAAAGGCTGTCGTAGCATTTTGTGTGATGTGGACCATCGCCATCGTAATAGCCGTTCTTCCTCTGCTCGGCTGGAACTGCAAAAAGCTCAATTCTGTTTGTTCGGACATATTCCCCCTCATCGATGAGACGTACCTGATGTTCTGGATCGGGGTCACCAGCGTCCTCTTGTTGTTCATTGTCTATGCCTACATGTACATTCTGTGGAAGGCTCACAGCCACGCTGTTCGCATGTTGCAGCGAGGCACGCAGAAAAGCATAATCATTCAGTCGACAGAGGATGGTAAGGTACAGATCACTAGGCCCGATCAAACTCGTATGGACATCAGGTTAGCCAAAACCTTGGTCCTTATCCTAGTTGTTTTAATCATATGCTGGGGCCCTCTCCTCGCCATCATGGTGTACGATGTCTTTGGGAAAATGAACAAGCTGATCAAGACTATCTTTGCCTTCTGTAGCATGCTCTGTTTGCTGAATTCAACAGTGAATCCCATCATCTACGCTCTGAGGAGCAAGGACTTGCGACACGCCTTCCGCAGCATGTTCCCCACCTGCGAAGGGACCGCGCAGCCCCTGGATAACAGCATGGAGTCTGACTGCCAGCACAAACACGCCAACAACGCGGGGAACGTGCACAGGGCTGCCGAGAGCTGCATTAAGAGCACAGTTAAGATTGCCAAAGTTACCATGTCTGTCTCCACAGACACAACTGCTGAAGCGTTGTAAGTCAGAGACTTCTCAGCGTTGTGAGAAAAGAAATTTAAGTTTAAAAAAAAATAAAAATTAAAAAAAAAATCAACAACAGAGAAAACCAAACCCATGGCTTAACGTGTTTGTACCCTCCTGTAATATTTTTTGGTTTGTCATTGTAAGCTGAGCAATGATTGTGTTAAGAGCATTACCGTCAGCCAGTTCTTCAGGTTTTACAATTAGGGATTCTAGCTAAATTTTCACAAGTTTTTCTCAAAAGGTGTTTACTGAATAATAATGTTTCCTGAAAGAGCACAGAGAAAATACCAGATTAGCAATCATTCCTTTGGGGGTGTGAAGAATTGTGAAACCTAATTGAAAAATAACACATCCTAAACCAATACCATCAGATAAGAAAAAACGCCTTGTAATCATGCTGTTCATTTCAATGTGAAATGTATTTCATGTCTGTAAGTAATAGGAGTTTCTGATCTTTTCCAAAAGCAGTGCTGAGTTTAGAGGTTTTGTAAAACGTGTCGTGTCCTGTGAATTGTGTGCTGTTTTATTATGTGTTATTGATATTTGTCTGATTAAACAAAGTGATAAGGTAGAATTCCGTGGAAATAACGTGAAATGTGATATGTAAACCCCATTGAAAACACTTACTGTATTTGAAGAATTCCTATGAGATATTTTGGAAATTTTACACTTTTAGTGGTCTTCTGTGGACTTAGAGGAGAGGCTTTGTGTTCTTCTACTAAAATTATTTCCCCACTACCTTTTACTTTCACATGCATATGAGACTAACAGCAACAGAGGAATAGAGGAGGAATGTGAGAAAGCAATGCACTGGTTCAGACTTTTAAATACCACTGCGTTTATACAGAAGGATGTTTATGGTTGCACAGACTACTGCCCTGCTCTTGGGCGTTGCGTGAATACGAACACTGAAAAGCAAGGGTCCTGGATTTTGGCTCCTTTAGTGGGCATCTGGTTTTAAGCCATGTGCTGGTTTTGGACCACTGAAGACAGCATGTGTCAGACTCAATGTGCGATGTTATCACTGTGCAGTCGACGTATACTTGAAGTGTGTCACATTCCTGTATCCCAGGTCTAAGCAGATTCAGAGCCTGAGATGCCAAACTCTCGTCTTCGCTAAAAGAGGAGGAAATATTGTCAGACATTTTCTTATTTTGTGAGCGTGTATATAAATAAATATCTCCGTGTGTGTATGTGTGTGTGTGTGTGTGTGTGTATGTGTGTGTGTGTAAGTATACTAACCGGTGTGAGTCATGGTAGCGTAGCTAAGATAGGACACTATGACCAAATGTAACTGTATTTCTTGTTGCACGCTTTGCACACGAATTCTGTTTCTAAAATTGAGTTCTTCCAATTGATTACTGGTGAAAGTACCGTATTAAGAACATCTCGATCCACGCTGAGATGTGTATCCATGTGCTAGAGGAAGCAACCTTTCAGTTGCACTTGAGAATAAAGGGAAATGAGAGGCAGAGAGCATGGAATGAGCCCACACTGACATGCTGTGGCTGTTGATGGTGTTCCTGAAGGCTGAGAAAGCCAGGAATAAATGGTAGTTTGTTTTAAGGCTGTGAGTATTCAAATCCAATGGCTTGCAATGAGGTGCAAGCTCTCTGAAACCACTGACAAGGTTTGACACTACCAGGAAGAAGTTACTGAAGGAAAATAGTGACTGTTCCATGGTGGGACAGTTTCTGCAGCCTGGGACTGTCACAAGGAACATGCTACCAGATAGTCTTTGAGGCATGGATATTCTGTGATTCTGTTCTGAGTCATAAGGTCTGGGATCCTCTTCTCTGCTGCCTTGCTTTTTCAGACCGTTCCCTCACCCTTCTGGCTGATTTCTGCCAAAATAGCTGAAAATGCAGCTTTATTCCTTTAGCTGCTTGGCACTTGCTGCAATAGGGGTGACTTTCTCCATGGCATGGGGCGAGTAGAGCCAAATCCATACTGCCCTGCCCCTCATCCTTGTGCTTAGGTAGGGAGAGAGAGGGGGTGACAGCCCTGGCTCTCTGGCTCCCTTAGTGCAGGCCAGAGCAGCCGGCTGAACGAGCACCCAGCCCCTTTCAGCCGTGGCTCTGTGCAAGTGGCTCCAAGTTTAGGCTTGATGAGGGGTGGCATGTTTTAAGATAAGATTGGATCAGGTGAGGTGCTGAGCAACACCTGGAAGAGACGGGGGTACTTTCCTTCTCCACCCACCTCCCCTGCAGCTTACCTGTGTGATGGGAGGGCACCACACTCTTGAGGGGCCCACTGCAGTCAGCCAAAACCAGTGGATTGCAGAGAATTGCCAGAGGATGTCGTCCTCCTGAAAAGATCTTACATCTAGGTCTAGTCCATCCTAAAGCAGACCTCTTGGCAGAGTGGGGGAAAGCCCATTTGAATTGTTAAGGGTATTTTAAGAGCCATTTTTGAAACTGTCTTCTTGTGAATTAAATGCAAACTTTGTGGAATTTTGTTGTGCATTCAAGTTCTAAATTTTACGATAAATCATGGGACAATGGGGCTGTCTTGGCACTTAACTTGGTGCTTACTGATATAATAAGAAATAGCATCCTGTGAAATGTTATCGTCTATCATCAGTATCTTCATTTGCATAATGAGTTTTTCTAAAGCTCTGGGAACTGCATCGGTTCACTTAGAACCATTTATTAAAGAGTTGGCAACAATTTCCTTACATGTTGCACACTAAGTAGAGCTACTCTTTCATTAGAAAAATCTGCTGTCATTCCAAGATAAGCTGTACTTACATTTCAGCTTTAGGTATTCCTAATTTGCAGTTGGCTACCTTCACTTAGTGATAGCGCAGCCAAACGATACTGTGTTCCACAGCCACCACACACCATCATCATCACCACCATCATCATCATCGCTAGTTGCAGTTAAGTGTGTATGTACCAACTCCAAGTGTCACGTATCTACCGAGAAGACCATCTGTGTCACACGTGTGCAGAGTTAGATTCTCGACAGTCTAATTGTATATTTGTATGATATAATCTCCTCAGTGCTGTGCAATCACTACCCACATCTTGCACTGGCCTTTGGATGACAATTTTAGTGTGTCTATTGTGAGATAGACAGCGCGTTCTACCTGCTGTTATTTGGCTGAATGTATGTAAATAAGTAAAAAAAAAAAAAAAAAAAAAAAAAAAAAAAAAAAAAAAAAAAGTCATCTGTACAACCAGTGGCCTAAAAAGTCTGTAATTGTGGACTAGGAAAATTGTTGAAGTTGCTGTGACATCTCAAATACTACCTTTGAATAAACTGTTTACAGGGTCTCTTGGGATGCTGTTTCACAGTGAAAGGAAAATTTTTCCTTGTGATAATATGAGGTAAAAAAATCGGATTACCTGAGGTTTTTATTTCCAGTGTTTCAAAGTGGAGAACATAACTCTATATTGTCTGTAAATCTAACATTATTACTTCCTCTTAGAAGAATATTGTATCATTAGATGTTTGTTTGAGCTGGTAACATTCTTGCAACTGTTGCAATATTTTTCATTAGCGACCTGTATAATAGTTTGTACACAAGTACTGTTCAGATTGTCATGAAAAGTAGCTTTGACCATTTACTTACCAGTAGCAGAATAGTATTTCTGTAAGATTTCCAGTGTATTCCTACCATATAATATTTTATTTCTATAATGTAATTAAACTGTTATTTATTCAAGGAGAAAAAGTATTCCTCTGCTTTTTTGTTTTCCAAATTTTGAGATAACTGAGGAAGCCATGTGATGATGCTGCCTCATCCCACGATCTGGTGCTCTACGTTTTGTTTATAAGTTTGTCTGTCAGATTCTGAAACAACTGCTTAAACAACTTGACAACAGGTTGTCAAGCTTTGTGGGTTTTAATTGTACGTTGATATGCTTGAAGGAGGAGGTAGATCATGTATTTTATATTTGTGTATCCAGTACTATGGAGACAAGAGAAACGACAGTTAAAACTGCATCTCCTTCATTATGTAGGCAATGTAGGCAATTTCCCCTTTCCTCCCCTTTATTAGCCAAATGCAATAAATTCCTTTTGCCTTCCTCAGATGCACGTTAGCTCGAAGATGTGACATTAAGACAAACTCATGTAGTTGAGAAAAACAAAACACAAAAGAACAGAAGAGTGGAATACAAATTAAAACAGTGCGGCCAGCAGCAGTGACAACCTAAATTAGTTATAGGGGGTTGTAAATGTAATCAGGGATGTGAGACAAACAAAGAGTTAGTCTAGTTTTGGCCAGTGCCAGTTGGGACAGAGTTGATGGGTGTAGGGAGTGGATGATGAAGTGGTCCAGGAGGGATTCATCGAAGCTGTGCAGAGAGAGCAGGCTCAGCCGTGCCACTGCCTATGAATCACATTAAAGTGCTCCCACTGCTGCTCATCCACATATGGAAGGAAGGGTAGAAAAAGCCCACTAAATGCTGTAGAAAGGTCCCTGCCTATTTCAGAGGATCAGTTTTCCATATGACTTAATCTCAGATTCATGTTACTTGGGCAATTTTCCTTCTTCACATCTGTGGTTTGAAAACATCCTTAGGGGATAAAGTGAGCATGTCACAGAATCATGGAATTAGGTTGGAAAAGACCTCTAGGATCATCAAGTCCAAACATGAACCTCACACTGCCAAGGCTTGGGATCATGGTTGTGTCACAATATTTTTACTTTTAAAAATTGGGTCACTGGTGAATTGGGAAAGTCTTGGCAAAGCAAAAGCAACTAGAAATAAAAGATTAGCTCTTACTGTAATCTTTAGCTGCATACTACATTTAAATGAAATCTGAATACTACTGCTAAAAGCTGTTACTTTCAAAGCAGCCAGGAGACAATTCCCTCTGTATTTCCATGGTCATTGGAAAACAAGGGTTATGCTGCCACAAACCAACAGATCCTCTTGACAGTAACATCTCACTGTATTTTTAAGTCTGTTCTGAACAGCACAAGAGGAAATAATGACAGCTTTCCAAGCAACTGCTTTCCCACACTAGCTTAGGAAACATGCAGGCAAAAAGTGCCATCATAGTTTCAGCCATTAGCATCTCTTATTGTCTCTGCTTTGCTGACAGCTGTTTTAAGAAGTCACAATATCATCATGCACACACATCACCAATAAAACATCTTCAGTTTGTTTGGTTTATTGGGTTAGGGTTTTTTAGTGCTTTGTCTTCAATGAAAATCCAGATTTGGCTTGTAAAATTAAATCATCACATTGGGGAACAGTTTATAATAGAAGAGCAAAAATATTTTTTTCTGTGTTTAAGAAAGTATAGGGTGGGGAGTATATCTAACTGTTTAGAATATATGTCTTCCTCCATTCTGGTTTTTTTCCATTGGTCTTTTTAGGTAATCAGTATAAAGAATTTTCTTTAAATAGCAGCACAAAATATGAAGCAAAATTGCCTTTTACAGAACTCCTTTAAGATGAGCAGCCATCTAATACTGATCTTTGAAGTTCAGTTAGGAGGAAAAGTGATAATAAACCCAAGGTAATCTTAATGATGAGGTATGACATGTCCTGGTATTGCTTTCCAATAAATCATCTTTTGTATTTAGAGCAGCAGTCACTTTAATGCTAAAGCATTTTAAGGTATTGAATCCTGTCTCCATAAAGTCCCTCAGAATTTTTATTGACTTCAGCAGAAATTGTATCTTACCCCAGGTTTTTGGGCTATCAGTGTGCATTTGGAAAGTGCAATTTTATTCTCCAGTGTATTTGCATTTTCACTGACATTAAAACAAAGATGGGACAGAATAGATAACAGCCTCTATGTTCATTGGGGTTTTTTACCTCCAAGAAAATCTATTTTGAATTTTGGTGGGTTAATGCAGAATCGTAAAGTCTGTCAGGAGTTCAATGGACTTGTCATGTGAGTGAAGGAATTTATTTACCCATATGTGTGCAGATTGGGTGGAGAACATCATGAACAAAGCTGCTCTCAGTAAAGCTGACAGAGTTGCTGCCTGGCTGCATGTGCTGGTACTGTTTTGATGCTGCTTTCTTTCCTTCTCACATATGTGTATGCATGGTGAAAACACTCATTGAATATCTTTCCCCAAAATAAAGTAGTATCTCTACCTATTTTTTTTTGTTTTATTTTAATGATATTAATAATATTTTTTAATATTATTATGGGAAACAATGTCACAACCACTGTTTCCATGAAAGGGAAGCCTCTCCTGCCATTTGAAGCTGTATCTGGATGGATTGAGTCCCAGCATTGTTACATGAACCATTTCTCCTTTTTCCCTGTGGAACTCACTGAAAGTCCTCCCAGGGCTTAGCACAGCAGGGATACTCCACTTTCCATCTAGCTGAAGAGAGGGATAAGGAAAGGGAGCTGGAAACTCCCTGGTCCTTGTTTGTGCCAGGCTGTTCCCGGAGCTGCTGTGTGCGTAATGCCGTGAGAGTCTCTGGGGACTCCTCCACGCTGTCTGTTCCCTCCAGAAAGATGGTTGCTGTGACCTGGCTGACAGCTGAAAACACATCAACAGGGGTGAAGAATAATCTTCTCTGGTTGAAACTCTGAAGAGAAAGGATTTAAGACTTTGCAGTGTAATGAATCAGAGATGGGGATCTGCTGTGTGTCATTTCTTAGTTACAGAACAAGGATTAAAGGTATCATTTTAATAGAGGAATATGGGAAGTTAAACAGGCTATGGATCCATCCAGTAAACACTCCTCCCAAGCCTTCAGAAGGGTAGTAATAAATCCTGTAAGTCCTTTTCATCAGCTGCCTGGGGAAAAAAAATATAATAACTGTCTCTGCAATGCTTAACGTGTAAAATAATTCAAAGCCATTTTAAAATTACACACCTACCTGCTACCAATGCAGTCTGAGTAGGCAAAATTAGTAACAGGCATGCTCAGTAAAGCCAAAGTTTAAAGCTTTAGCTCGAATGCTAATGTCTAAATTGAGTAATACTCTCAGTCATGAAAACTACAGTTATCTGCCTCCTTATCTTTTCCTATTTATTTCTCAAGGCGTCAGGTGTTTTATTTATTCTTATTATAGCACTTGCAAAACCCAATAGCTCTGGCAGAAGGAGAAACAATCTCTCTGCATGTGGCCACTGGTGTTGCTGAACTGCCTGCTGCAGCATGTTCAGGGCATCCAGGGAATGTGAAATGCTGATCTGGACAAGGAGGCAAAGAGAGGATGTGCTACTTCATAGCTAGCCTAGGAGCTGATTAAAAAAGAGCAAAGTCTTCTGGGCTGCAGCCCCTGAGAGCTTGGGAGATGCTGGGTGGACACTGTCACAGGGGGAGGAAAGCTCTATATCCAAAGTCCTGCTTTTCTCCCTCTGTGGCAGCAGTTGCTGGGCTCCTTGGCAGGGAGCCCAGTGAAAAATTGCTGTAGCCCAGGGTTAGTGCCCATGGCAAGGCACTTGGAAAGGGACCTGGCTGCTTCCTGCCTGTGCTGAGGGTGAATTGTGCCTCTCTTGAATGTTGGGCTTCAGACCTCAAGTTGGTGTTTAAGAAAAGCTTCCACTTTCAACTTCAATAAATTAGTCATTTAGCCCAAATACTTTTCTATGCAAGTGATATATGCAGGTAAACAATTCCTCTCATCTTCCCCTGGGAAAGCTGAGGAACTACTTTAGCTGAGTTGAAGGCTGAGTTGTCTCACTCAATGCCAATGCAAGTGGTTGCAGCTGGTGCTGAAAGGAAAATACAGGGACCAACAGCTGACCTCCTAAACAGATATATAAGCTGTTGAGAGAACTGTTAGGTTCTCTCATCCAAGACATTTAGCCCTGATTTGAAGTGAGTGTCCATCATTTCAGTTCTTTTAAAACTCATTCAAAATAACACTGGCCACTGCAGATGCTGTTTTAGTGTCGCAGACATGATGAAGCTACTGGCTGTCATAAGGTAGGACAGAGGGGCATTGAAACTCAGTGCTGCTCTATGCTTATGCTTTAGCTCTTTGCCCTTTCTTGGTGATTACACAAGGTTTTTAAATAGTTATTTGAGATCTAATCTTAGCTGCTGTCTCAGTTGGCCCCTGGCGAGGCTTAAACCCCTCTGCTGACCAGGAAAGTGTAGACTGCAATCTCAAAAAAGAATATGTCACTTGCCTTCTAGAGAGCAGTGTGGAGGTGGGAATGAATAGGAAAGTGTTTTTCCCAGAAAAGTGAACAATGGCAAGGCATGAGAACATGGGCTGATGTACATTTTCTGTGGTCCCATGCCCTCTGGCAGTTTGTTCTTTCTCTCTGTGCTGCCACCTCCACAGTGCCAGCACAAGTGCTTGCATGCCTGCCTGGTGAGTCAGATCCAGCTGAACTGATCCAGCTAAAAAAAAATTATTTTTTTTTTTCTGTTTTGGACATACTATGCCTGCCAAATCATGTCCAGACTACATGACCTGGGTTTCAGAGCTGGAAACTGGAGCAAAATTTGTCACGCAGGTAACTCGACAGCTCCATCAAACCTGCTTCCTGCAGTACCAAGCCTGCAGTGGGACTTTCAGGTTCTTGTTGTTCATTGGCAGAATAATCTAAAAATGTTCTGCATTTCCAAACAGGAGCTCTGAGGGAAACTTGAGTTTCAGAGCCCATTGGAGCACCAAAACTGTAGGGACCGTGTCTGTGTCCTTGATAGGCAAAGTTCCCACCAGAGGAATGGGCAGAACAGGTAAGTCCAGCACCCAGCCACATGGCTGATGGGCTCTGCTCATGCTCTGGGCATGGGCTGGTGAATGCCTTTTCACACTGGAACACAACGTCCCAGGGCAGCCAGGGTGAGCGAGGTGGTGCTGCAGCAGCCCTTGGGTCACAAGGTGAGCGCCACTTGGCACAAGTGGCCACCACTTCTGGGGCAAACTCCTCTTGCTGCCTGCTCCAGGGGGTCACTATGGGGAATCAAAGCAGTCAGTTACTGGGAACTGAAGCAACGTGTTTCTCATCACTGCAGAGAGGCACTGAGATGCTTTGCAGGAGTTGCTGGCCAGTTGGAGGGTAGTTGTGGAAGAAAAACTATGTTTCAGGTGCATCTGCAGCACTCAGGCATGACAACCACCACAACCTTTTCAGCAGCAGGAGCACTTGGTGTCTTTTCATTCCTCAAATTTAATTGAATCCCTATCAATGACGAGCACTTGGGAAATGTTCACTCTTAGAAAAAATACAAGCCAAACTTTGATTACACAGTCCTGTATTGTTAAGGAAAAAAAAAAGAAACTGCCTAGTTCTGAATCAAAGAAGTCAATCTTCTCTAAAGGCTGAGTTGGTAAATAAAACAGGAGGGGAAGCTGCTGTAAATTAGAAGAGCTCCACCACATCCACAGGCAGAGCAATAGAGGCAAATCATGCATGAGTCAGCCACACTGCTGAGCCATGGATGTGTTTACTACCCAAAAGTAATTGCAACCATATCCTTTCAGAGGAGGGCAAAGCACCCCACAATTTCCCTGGGGTACAGATACTCACATGGGAAGCTGGTAGTCATCATCATTCCTGGCAGTCCAGACTGTACCTCTCCTCACATTGACATGTACCTTGTGTACCCTTGAGCCACCCTACCCTAAACTGAGCCAGACATTGCCAGTAATGTATGAGCTTTCTAGCCAAAGAGGATTAGATTCGTAATATTCCCCTTTGCAAGTCACTGAGTAAATGGTCTGGTTTTACTTATATTGCACTTACACCTGGCAACTCATAGTAATAGAGGCTTGAGGTATTTGCAACAGCACAAAAAAAATAATAAAAATTAAACCAACAAAAACCGAAACAAACCAAACCTACAAAAAAAAAATAACCCAAAAACCAAAAATCCCCACCAAAACTCTCAGCCTTTATCAAATAATTCCTATGAGGGGAAAAAACACATGATTGCATTATTAAAGCAGTATTTAGTCTGCAGCTAAAAGGCCACAGAAGCCTTTACTTCTCACTGCTAACTCAGGTCTCCTTAAGAGGCTCGAATGGGATTTAAAGGGTAAGTATTGTGGAATAGTCTGCAGATGAGAGAGCAGAACCCTTAATGCTGCCTTTTCAGGACATTATTCTTTCCATTTGTATAGAGACAATTGCTTCAGCTAACCTGCCTGGCCTGTACCCTAGGCAACCTGACATATTAAAACTGCCTAATCCATCAAACAAATGGTTTGTCCTGGCTCCATCAAAAATAAATAAATAGCTATCCCCCCTCCCTGAAAAACAAAATGTTTCAACATCAAAAAAGCTTCTTCCCTGCCTCATCTTCCCCCCTCCACATTCCCAAAGGGAGAATCTCACAGTATGGCCATGAGGTCTGCAGAAGAGCAATATCTAAGGACTATCACTTAGCACAAGCATTTCTAATATATCCATGAACTCAGGGATCTAGGGGAGAGTTGGTAATGGAACTGGAATATCAACCCCTCTGGTGTGGCTACAAGATTAAAAACAAACCTTGAGGCTGATGACAAGCCATCAGCCTCAGATCAGAGTCTCGCACAGCACTAAGCATCTCCTCTTCCTTCCCCACTGTCCTCAGCAGCCTCCAAACAACCTTTTCCAGTGCTCCTCACAGGATCTTTGTTTTGAAAATCTGAATTTATTTGCTGCCTTTGATTTCCTGGCTGGGGATGCATACATGGAGTCTGCTAATGAAGCTGAAAGAACACAGTCAAAGCACTTTCTCAGTGCTGGCTGGCACAGGTGGAAGAACAGTGGCCAGTCACTATCCCTGCATGCATGCTGGAAGAGAATGCCATGAAACACTGCACAGCAGGTGCAGGTACAGGGCTGGGGCTGTGCATCCCTGTACAGGCAACTCAGTGTGATGCTTTCCTTGTCCTGTGCTGCCATGAGCCATAAGCAGATCTAAATCCCACCATATGCCAGGCATCCTAAGCCTCATTAATTCAGCATGGTTTGACAGCATCTAATTTCTAAAGGCACTTAAAATCTTTAGCAACCACCATTAATACCTCCATTATGGAGCATAAAGGCTTACGTGCACCTAAATAGGAGCTCTGAGGTGGCACCCTGGTTCTGGGCTGAATAGGTGGACAAGGGACAGCTGCCTCAGCCACCTGTCCTTTGTCTTAGGCTGCAGGCAGGTCTCACCTCCTGCAGCAGCTGCACTGTGTT